TCCAACACTTATTCTCTTGTTAAATTTCTCTCAAGAATTTTATTATAAGAAGTGTTCTAATTTTCGCACCGGAGGACCAACGGGAGACAAAGCCTCGCCCAACCCAGCTAAGCTCATCACAATTGGTCGAAGGGAGAATCAGGGACACATCGTTTAGTCCCCGGTCAGAGAGCAGTTACAAAAGTCGTCATCTTCTAAATCGTTTTTTTATTTTTTTTCTTTTGCAGATTGTAGAAGCTTTGAATACATAAACAATAACATTATTTAGGAAGGATAAAATGGCCTCCCAACTATACTTTAGTCATGGACTCGTCTTGGCTCAAGTTAGTCACACATTCTAACTATGATAAACTGATACATTTCATACAATTTGCCATTAACTTGGGCTATCCTGCTCATACATTGGATTCATCAGCCGCCCGTTTAGGTTTGAAAGTATGGAGCATGTAATTGCATGTCCCAACAGCCTCTCCCACTGTTAGAAAGATCCACTCCTGCCCTATTTTCTCTAGGAATTTCGACTTGTTCATCTTCTTCATCACCTCAGCTCCGGGATTGGCCAATACCAGCTAATCACAGCAATATAGTTGCCTTGTTAGTTCCATTTTCCGATCTTGCTCATGTTAAAAGTACCAATAAACAAAAATAAAAAACAAGAAGCTCATCTGTCTATTTAATTTAAACTTTTAGATGGTTCGATGAAGATAGACGAACCTTGAGCCCTCTTCGCTCAGTATTCTTTTCAACCTCGTCGAGCATGCTAATCCCACTTGTATCAATGTTTCCAACGGCTGCGAATCCAAGGGAAACTCAATAACATTTTCTTCTAAGAGATTAAATTAAGTAATATTTTTCAAGTTCTTCACTTACCACTCATGTCAAGTATAACATATTGTAAGTTGGTTTCTCCCGAAGATTTTAACTTGTCTTCCTCATCATCGATCCATCTCGAAATTCTGGAGAAACAATTAAACAATCTTGTCAACAGAAACAATGTTTTGTACAAGGCATATCTTTATATGTTAGAATTTCTACCTCTCTCTCAAGTAGCTTGCATTGGCAAAGTAGATAGGAGCATCAATCTCAAGTATAAGAACTCCAGGAACATTATTGGTATTGGGATATTGATCAACATTTCTGTAAATCTTGGAATTTGGAATGTTACCAAGAACTAATGTCCTTGGCCTTGCAACAAATAATAATACCCTAAGTATAGATAATCCAACCTGCAATGGAAAAGTACAATTAGTTTGTGATTTAGGTGTCAAAATGGCCACAACTATGGTTCATGAATAGCTCAACACAGGTTAAAGGTATTAAGGGATAACCAGCTAATTACCGAAATATAGACCAATATATACAGATTTGGACTAATCGTCTTAATAAGGTTGACATTTTTGAGATGGAACTCAAATTTTAATCTGATATCAGAGCTCATTAAACTCCAACAAGCAATTTGATCTAACTTAAATTCAAAAAAAAAAAATAAGCATACGGATTACAAGATTAATTTGCGCAAATGATTCACCATCTTTTAGGAGCATATTAAGGATAAATTTCACATTGATTAATTACCTAAATATGGACCAATCATATAAGGGTTCAGATATTCTTCTTAATAAGATTGATTTTTTAAGATGGACACCCCAAACATAATAAAAGGTGGGTCGTGCTAGTCTTTGAAAAATGGATTGAGATGAAGAGAACGTGCTTACAGCCATGATTAAGCCTATTTCAATGTTTCCGAAGATGACACCAACGTACGCACTCATGCACACGACGAAATCGAATTTGTCAATGTGCCAAAGATGAATTGCAGCTTCATAGTCTATAAGGCCAAGCATTGCAGCAATTATAATTGAAGAAAGGACAACAAGTGGAGTGTAATGGAACAATGGAGTCAAGAACAATAATGTGATCATCACTGCAAATGCCATCACAATGTTAGAAACTGCTGTTTTGCATCCTGCATTGAAGTTCACTGCCGATCGCGAAAATGGCCCTGGAAAATGCAAAGCAGCATTTTTAAATTTCGATTCTCTGATATCAGACTTCTTTTCTTATTTATTTACAATAAAGCAGGAATTACTTATTTCCATATTTGACTAACAAAAAAGCTTATTCTAGAATTTATTCATTCGTTTTTCATTTCTTTATCAAAATTTTAGGGAATGTTCTCTTTGTATTTCAGTTTTGTGTTTTAAATTCATTTTGAGTTTTGTATTTTGAATGTTCATTTTGAGATTGTTGAAAATGTGTTCTTTTTAGCATTTTGAAAAATTATTTTGAAAACACTCAAAACGCGTTTTGAAAATTTTGGCTTGATTATAACTAAAAACACCCAAAACGTCAAATTTGTTGTTTTGAGTTTTCTTTGTAAATTTTTAACTTATTTTCAAAAAACGCGTTTTCGAAAATAGAAAAGAGAACGCGTTTTTACTGTTTTGAAAAATCGAAAATAGAAAACGACTTGAAAATGATAAAGAGAACAGACGCTTAGAGTTTTAGAATATAGACTACCCCTTGTTGATGTACTGATATAAGCCTAGTGATCGACCCCATTCAGCCAAAACTTGGGACATGAAAGGGGTTCAAATCAACATTCATGGCAAATCCGGTTTTCAACTGACCCACATGGACTGGTCCAGCCCAATACAATTTCTGTGGTGTTACAATTGTACTTGAGGCACACAAATAATGAATAATATTATACATCACATTTTTTTATAAAAGTCTCCTTTGTAAAATCTATAAATCATTTATAAAGATAATAGAGGAGAAATAGTAGTGAAGCTCATAAAATATGAGTCCTTGTTGGTGTGGATTAAAATCTTAGTAAAATTTTTTAAGTCAAATTGAAGAATTAATTTTAACCAAGTATTTTATGGAATTCACAGCTTCTTAACCACATATTTCATCAAATTTTATCAAATTCTACTGAAAATATGATTTTTAGCTACACCAAACAAGGGCTAAATGCGTAGTAGTTATGAATTTACCATTGAAATTAATGTTCGACTTTAACTGAATTTACAAACTATTTACTTGAGTATAGAAATTATAGAACTAGGGATCATCTCCTAATTGAACCCGTCGAATCTCGTGACTATGAATAAAAGTGAAAAAGAATGAGGTCCATACCAGCAGTGAGGTAACATGAAGTGCAAGAACCAACAATATTCATCATCCCAAAAGCAATCATCTCTTTGTTCCCATCTATTTGGTAATTCTTGTACATTGCAAAGCTTCTGCCCACTGCAATCCCTTCCTGTCACATACACATCACCCATCTTTTCTTTATTACAATTCAGTGACCAAATGATAAAAGTTATGAATATTTGTAACTTAAACAAGCATTGGAGAGTGGTCCAATTCAATAATGATAAAGTTGGCAGAAATACAGAAAAGGACTTACAGCAAGACCAATAATACCAGTGACTATGCCTGTTTTCATGGTTGCGGTGAGATACTGTGATCCAAATTGCAGATCCATTATTGAAGGTGGGTTTATCCCTTTCTTCAAGTGCCCTATCTGCAGGCATATTTAATTCAATAATAACAACAAACTAAATCATATTCTCGATGTTGATCGACTTCCCTCTTCTACGAGTAGTTACTTAAAGATTGAAAGGCTTACCACTTCGACACCATGTCTTTCAGCGTGAGTGAGATAAACGAGAAGACTTCCCAAGATAACAGAGGTTAATGGAGCCATTGCTGATATCCAAAAGAGCTTCGGCTTCTTTTTACTCTGCATATCAATAACTCATTAATGTATCTTTACTATATAAAAAAGCGCGACGCTTTCTAGATGACATTTTTTGTTTGCATAGTATATTTGGTACACCATATTAAACAAATTATGCATTAGAATATATATATATATATATATATATATTTTTATTTCGGAAAAGAAAAAAAGTTTTCCATTAGAATTCTTGATTATACTTACGAAGTGTCTAGCGAGCAGCAGGTAGAAAAGGAAGCAACATCCCAACACTGCACTTTCCCATCTCCACTGCAAAGAATATTCAACGTCAGGAGACTTTCATATTTTTCTTAATTATGTATTGAATTTGTCAAAAAAAAAACATAAAAAAGACATAGTAATTAGTAAATTTAATAGAATAAAAAGAAATCACAGAATATCCAAAAGTGGGTTTCATTTTATTTTTTCCCCTTTTAAACCGAATCTCAAAAGTGAAGCTTCAATATGTTTTGTAAGATATTAAAATATAACGTGACGAAAAAATGACAGAATTTTCATCGCTACAGCTTCTTTAGTTTCTCGTAATTGGGTAGATTGAATTCTTTATTTTATTTTTGATGAAAGAGATCACCTTATGGGTTTGGGAGAAAACCGAGCGCATAACGGAGACAACATCAGTGGCATGAGTGAAATGGTCGAGGCCAAGTATCCCTTTTAGCTGTTGGAGGCACACCACTGTGGCTGCTCCTCCCATGAACCCTACTATCGTAGCATGCGATAGAAAATCTACTATAAACCCTAACCTGCAAATATTTATCCATATGGGACATCAATCTTAAGAACTTACCTTAACTTAATCAATCAAAACATAGAAAAAAAAGTTGTCTCGAACGAGTTGTGAGGTTCAAGTCAGCTGAACATGAATTAGTCAGAGGCTATGCAGTATTAACAGAAGATTTAGTCTTTTTTTCTAGGAGTAATTCGAACCTGAAAATACCCAAGGCTGCTTCAAGAAGTCCAGCAAAGAATGTTGCTGTGAAAGCAAGATGAAGATAGAGTTTTGGGTTCTCATTGGCGTTAACTTCATTACTCAACATGGAGTTTATGAGCAGTGATCCAACAGCAACAGTCCCCACTGCTAAATCCCTTGAACTTCCCATTATTGCATATATCAATGGTGGAACAAAGCTGGAATCTGATGCATAAAAAAACCCAATTTTAAATTGCTCACATATTACATATATACATGTGTGTTTGTGTGTGTATGTAGCACAGTAGAATCACTTACATAGGCCAAGAATTGGTGGCAAGTTCGCAAGCTTTGCATAACTTATGCCCTGAGGAATTGCAAGGCTGGCTATGGTAATCCCAGCAATAAGATCAGACTTGAAAAACTCGAAACTATATCGTGGACCCCACTCGAGTATCGGGAAGAGGTACTGGAGGCCTAATATGAACTTCCTCATTGGTGGCTGGTTCTTGAATTGCCGGAGTGGATCATCAGGAAAGAATGTCTCCTTTAGCATGTTCTTCATTGACTTCACGAAAGGTTGCGGTGGTGGGATTGCTACTCGATGCGTGCTATCAACATTATTCGTCGATGCAAAGACGTACTCGGGGTTGCCCATTTTTAGCTAGCCTCAAAACTTAGTGCTGCTAAAATAGGGCTTTTATTAGTAAGTAGTAATTTTTATGTACCTAGGTGAGGGATTTGGCGTGGGACAAGAAATATTGGTAGTAGAGGCTTCAATGCTGGGGGTTTGATGGTGTCTTTGGGACAATTTATAGTGGAGGGAAATGAATGTATCTGTTCAAGTGGGCAGTGGGAACTACAAATATTACACACACCATACACATATGAAAACACATAGTTATCTCAAATTATTGTACCAATAAATATTCCACACAATACACGTGTAATCACATTGCTAGGTCAAATTAATGTATCACCTACAAAATATACGTTTTTCTTGGTCTGTAGATAAGGTGATATTGAGCCCCCATTTGGTTTAGTTAAACAGTAGATTTTTCGTAGATTTTGATAGAAGTTTCGAGTTCCATGAAATGTATGATTGTGAATGAATTTGAAAAAAAAAATGAGTTTTAAAAAATAGAAACCAAACATGGGCTAATTTTCTTGATAAACAAGGTCGATGTATTTTTGTCGCTCGCATCAAATCACTCTGAAACACTATCTTTTTTACTTATAAGTTGACATCTCGGAAAATATACACTAAAAAGAGTTTGAATTTCTTGCTCAATTAGTTGATATTATCTCACAATATCTATTAAAGTCAAAGATGGTGTTCAAATCATTATTCCTTTTATAAATAATCAAGATTTACTTGACAAATTAAGACCCTGTTTGTTTCAGATTTTAATCTAAATTAAAGTCAAACAATCAATACATGGGTCCCACAACTTTTCAACCACACATTTCAAAACCGTGTATCATAATCTACTAAAAATCTAATTTTAATCCCCACCAAACACCCACTAAGACGAATTTAGATAGTTAGGATGGAGCTCGTAAAAGAAAAGAGCCTCATGTCAACTTTTTTGGGGCAATCTTGGTTCTCCTCAACAAGAAGCAAGTGCAGGTTAGCTCACATAAAATTATATAATTTTCAATAGCCACAGGCTGCCTTGATGGACGTGTTGAGTTCTGATTGATTTTATAGGGATTTTACATATTTGGAATATCCCACTTGCGGGGGGCAATAACCAGATACTTCTTTTAGCCTTCTAAGTAAATTAATCATGATTATGGTGTTAGTTAGGATCTTTAATAAGATAACGAAATGAAATTGAATGCCCTAATTTGATTTGATTAAGATCGTTTTATTAATTAATCCATATCTAACAGTGCCAACCCCCCTGATATTTCATAAAAGAGAATCAATTCAAGATCAAAGTTGACCCTTCAACAGATCAATTTTATAATGTTATAGGCAATACCAGTTGTTAGATATAGGTAAACACAGTACAGACGGAAATCAAGTGCAAATTGTTGATTTCTATACTCCACGGTGCTAGTTGGCCAATAAATTCTAACTTCTCCTTCCTTAACATGTAGGTCACATATATATACACTTGGACAACCATGTTAGATTATGAGACAGTCACGGGCTCTCGACGCTCAAGACAAACAATAAAGAAGATATGTTTATTGTTGCATTGCCAGAGTAAACTTACCTTTGGCAGGCAGAAGTGTAAGCTTTTATATCAAGAGAAAAGAAGCGATGTCTATTAGATGTTTGAAAAGTGATCTCATCTTGATGACTCATTAATCAAAAGGTGTCAATCCCAGTTGTCACAGTCCCATGATTGTCAAACGAAAGTTGAAAAGTAATCACCTATATTATAAAAATAATCTGAAAAGTACTGAAAAGTTGATAGAGTGTATATGCTGCAAGTTGTCAAATTGTAAGGTACACAAAATATCGTTTTACAGAATACATTTTGACCGATGTGATATTAACAAAATATGCCATTGACAAAAGAGGCATACCACCTCGAAAATACGTTGTAGTAGAAGGAGGAGGCACCTCACCTTGGAAGTATCATTGTGGGCACAAGTGTTGTCACCTTCGAAGAACCACAAGTTTCCATCAGTACAGCACACCCAAGAGGTATCCAACCACTTTGGATGAGGTGCAAACCACCTCTCCCAATAACCCAACCACCTCGTAGAGAGGTGGAGGAGGGAGGTGGGTAGAGTAAGAACCTTGCGTGACTTTTTATTCCATCTTTGCTTAGCTAAGTGTCATGTAAAAAATAAAAAAAATTTATGGTTAAGCATTTTTCAAATTACATTTTTAAAGGTTGCCGTTTCTTTAGAACACTAAAATAATATAAGTAAAAGTTTTATAGTCCTACAACTTTATTGTTACTATCCATATATTAAAAAGATGGGTTAAGCCTCTTTAAAGATTTGTTTTCCCAGCAAATTTCATGTTATTTTATACCCTTTATGATACTTTCGAAACTACTTGAAGCACTTGATTACATGTATGAAATTTTCTCCTAAATTATGGAAATCATCATGAAAATGTCAAACTTCTAACTTTTAGCTAATGGCAATAAAATAACCAAGATTGTTCTAGTAAACATAACGTGGCATAGATAAAGAGAAATCCAATATATTAAGGGTGTAACACATACCACCTTATTATTACTTGAGAGCTGCTACACTCACAGCACGGTGCACAGCACCGATGACAGCCCCCTCACATGCAGAGGCGGGGCCCACGATTAAAATAATCAAATTCAGGCGCGGGGCCCGCGCCTTTGTGTCTGTGCTGTGACCCGAGCTATGAGCTCGGGCTGTACATTTAGCAAAATTCTTATTACTTTTGCAAGGTGTAACGTATCCCAATGGCTGGGGGTTTGCATTCAAAACTTCACTTATTCAGTATCAAAAAATTTGAAACATTTTAGATAAGCTTGAAAGCATTTGTTTTACCATTTTCAAGCTATTTTCAGTTTTATATAAAAAAAAAACTCAGAACTTTTTTGGTTTGATATTTTTGAAAATATATTCTAAAAGAATATTAAATTTAGGAAAACTTGCAGCCACGATACCAATTCTTTCAATTTTTTGTAGACTTTGTCCAAACTTTTGATTTGTGCCACCCACGGTACCAAACCTTCAAACAATTCGNACCCACGGTACCAAACCTTCAACAATTCGCAGGTCAAGTCCGAATGAATGAAAACCGTTAGTTTGACTGTTAATTGACTCCAAAATATTATTTTGACCAAATCAACAAAAGGCAAAATGATAATTTCATAATTTTAAAAAAACCCAACCCACACATACCCACCCCACACAAACCTAAAATATACTTTACTGATCAGTTTATGCACGGTGGCGGCTCTGAAGAGAAGGTGAAGTAGGAGGAAAGGAGTTGTATATCAAGAACCGTATACATAAGCTTTAATAACCATGACATGGGCTGATCTACCACGGCCTGGGTGAGGCTCGAAGAAGAAGGCATTATTGAGCTAGATACCGTGGAGCGGGGCGAGCAAGTTGGAAGTGCACTTTAGTGGGAGTGATAAAGAAGGGCCTACACCTTTGCTTGTGAGAGGAAATTGTGCAGGAGATTTTGGGTGGCAGAGTCATAGTTTAACTTCATTTGTGTGACAAAGGCCAATACTCATGGGTGAAAAGCGTGAGCTTCCAAGATTTAGTGGCCTTGTACTGTATGATGAAATCACTGTGAAGAATGAAGCATTTATAATTTAGTAATATATAAAAAAAGGGTTTGGAAATATAACAAAACACTTCTTTTTAATTCCTTTTTGTGTTGTTAGTTTGAAGCGAGATGACAATATATATTTGGTGGATGTGAATGGAGTGTGGATTGGAATTAGATGCTGGGATTACAGAAACTCGCGAATTTGCTAGGATTACAGTAACTCGTGTGTACGCTGGAATTGTGGACTGCTTAATGCGTGGTGGTTCAGAGGGTGATTTGTTGACGATTTTGGGGGCTTTTCTAAACGGTTGTAGGTGGTGGAGATTGTTGCAATGAATGTTATGGTGGTGTGGTGCACGCATTGGTTCCGATGTAGAGGTGGCAATGAGCCGAGCCGAGCCCGAGCCGGGAAAAAAAAGCTCGGGTTGCCCGAGCTTTTTTTTGGCCCGAGCCGAGCCCGGCCAAAAAAAATGAGGCTCGGCCCTAGCTTTTGGCCCGAGCCTTAGCGGGCCGAGCCAGTTCGAATTTTTTGGGTTTTTTTTTTCTTCTTGTTTCTTTAGCTGCCTTTGCAGGCAGCTATCCTGCAAAGGCAGCTAACAAGCTGCC